TGGGAGTCTAATTGTACTCTCATGATTAAAAAATAATGCAAATTCAAGATTAAATCAAATGATTATTAGCCAAATTTATATAAGAATAAAGTCTAAGGACTTAATTAAGTTTGTAATAGGCCAATTTGATTTAACCATGAGCCCAATTAAAGGTGTAATTAAATTTTAGAATTAATTTAGGTCAAATTAATTTTTTTTATTAAGTGCAAGGATGTAATTAGGCTTTTAATGGGTCAAATTAATTTTATTAGGGACTCAATTAGTAAAAAAATTAGTTTAGAAGCTTCATTTAGGCTTAATTGAGAAGATATAAATTTTAAAGAACAAAATTTATTTTTTCAAACTCAATAAGGTTAAATCAAGGTCGAAATTGCAAGAAAATTAAAGTTTGAGGGTCAATTAAGATCCAAATTGAAATTTAAGACCAATGACCTTTTTCCCAAAAAGAGTGTGGATTTAGGGACCTAATTGAGTAAAATCAAGGATGAAATTGAAAAAATTAAAAGTTTGAATGTCAATTAGAAATGAAATTGAAAATATCCAAGACTAAGGATCAAATTGAAAAAGATGTTAAACTCATATGGTCATTTTAAAATTTAGCAGGGGTGAAATTTAATTGATTATTAAAATTAAAATTTAATTGAGGACTTAATTAAATAAATAAAAAAATTAAGGGTTGGAATTGAAATAAGAGATTTTTAAATAAATTAACCCTAAATACCAAAAGGACACTGTTTCATTTAAATGAAATGATGTGTTTTAGATCGAAATAACATCGTTTCAATGAATAAAAGTAAAAAAAAATAGTGTCAAAAGATGCGTTGTTTGACATTGTTCATCATCTTCAACTTTTATACTTGAAAAGTTGCCCGAATTATTGCTTTTCAGAGGTATATAATGCCTTATCTCTTCATCAAATAGAATAAACAAGCCATTGTTCTTATGACTTGACATTGTACTACACTCCAGTTTGATTCCTGTTGGGTGGTCAATTCTATAGCCATCGTAGTGTCGTCCTAAAGACAACAACTCGATCAGTCTAAGCAACACAATTTTAACATCTTGTTATGGTGATTTTTAGACAACGGTTGAGAACCTTTTCATTTGAATTAAAAGCCACGATTCCCGTTGGGTGGTCATTTCTATAGCCATCGCAGTGCCGTCCTAAAGACAATAACTTGATCAGTCTAAGCAACACAATTTTAGCATCTTGTTATGGTGACTTTTAGACAACGGTTGAGAATCTTTTCATTTGAATTAAAAGCCACGATTCATGCCAAATAAACATCATATAGCCTTCTTTCAACCCCTATAAACAGTGGTGAAATCCATTGAGAAAAATGGGAGAGACCGAAGCATAAACCTACCTCTTGTACCAATTTTTTTTTTTTTAAAAAAAGAAGAAGAAGAAGAGAAGAACACAATCATCACTCTTTCTCTCTTGTTTTAATAGACACATACACAAAAAAAACAAAATCACCCCTGGTCTAACCCTAACATCACACTTTTCAGCCTCTTTTTATTGCCCTTCCACCATCTCTACTTACACCAACAAAAAAACAAACCTAAATACCATTTTCTTCTCATTCCATAGTAACACCACTATCAATATATGCATCACCACCATAAATGGCACAATCTTCATTCGATAGCTCCCCGCTAACAGCGATAAAAACACCACCACCCACAACCTCTTTCCTTTTTAGTTAAGTTATTCAAGACAATAATGTGAGCTTCAACACCAACATCATCCAGTAATAACTACCTCTTCTTCTCCACCACAATTTCTTTAGCCTTCACTAGCAAACCATTACGGCACGTCTAAGGCTCCACCAACCAACCAACACTCCTATCCAGCCTAGGTAAGCCTCTCCTTGCTATTTATCTTTTTAGAACGCATTTAATAACATGCAAGTTATGTGAAGAAATAATTTAGCCCAACCCATGTGGTTGGATATTGTCTAGTAACAGTAAAAAAACAGAAAGAGCATGTTAGCCTAAAAATCAATTTGGGATTGGCCTGAACCCAACTTGTATATGCCAATTAGGCCTTGGGCCCAATAGGCCAGCCCATATGATTAGGCCAAGCTTAAACCCATCCATAACGGCATGTTTAGCGTGCCATTTTTTTTAAAACAATAAGCTCTTGTTTGGCTTTTAAGGGTGTGTTTGCCAAACATATCCTTAAGATATTTTTAATGCCTTTGATTTTAGGCTGAGAAAGTGTTTGACAAACACATCCTAAGTATTTTTTTTTCTTTTAGGTTTAATTTGTTTATATTTGAATGTTTAGTAAAAAAACACCTTAAAAATAAAAAAAAAATATAAAAACAATTTAGGGACCATCTTAAAAATATTTATGAGTTCCTTGCATGATTTTTCCATCACTTTTATCTAATATTGGATTGTAGATTTACACTATTAGATACAGACCTAGTATTAAAAAATACCAATTAAATTTAATTTCTTAAAAATTATTTCATTAAATAATATATATATATATATATATTAAATTACTTAACAATATATTTTATATATTATTTTATTAAATTCCATTTAATATTTTTCTTGTTATCAAGTTAGATCACATAACTATTTTTATAATATTATCAGACATTCTTTTTATACAATTTATCATAATCATTTTTTTTAATGTATTTCTGTAATCATGTAATTAAATAAAAAAATGGTTTAAGAAAATAAACTTATTAAATCTGCTTGGGTTCATAACCTGAGTGACAAGTTTATAAGTCGACTTGGAATAATCTAATATTTTGACATTTTAATGTGTTTTTATTTTTATTTTTAATTTTATTTATATCAAATCATATTTTTACCGGTCATTTTGGTTGCCTTTTCACCTACTACGTACTCTAGTTCATACTAAGTCAACCCCTTCATGATTTAATTTGTAATCTAGGTTAGATAAGGATTCAAATTAGGAGGTTTCAAGGTTGTCTAGGTAAGTTGAGTTTTAAGTTAACAATTAGAATTTTTCTTGTTACTAGAAAACACATTTGCAATGTATGAACATGCTTTCTTTTTTTTTACATTAAAAAAAAACTTGATGTAACTAGCGATATAGCATAAGTTAATTATTTAGTATTTCTGCTATTTATATGAAAATTTTGGAAATATTGATGATTTAGATTGTAAATTTTTTTGATAAAAAAATAAAAGATAAATTATAGTTATGACATGTTTTGATGAGTATAATGAATGATATAATGTTGATAAGGTTGTTGAAAACTTATTAGGATTAATCTTTTTATATTGTTGTAAACTAAAACACCTTAGTATTATGCATGAATGAATATGATACCTGATAAATAAGTTTATTGTGGGATTTAGAGATCTTCAATACTTCAATCAATCTAAGCAAAAGACAGAAACCACGTAAGACCATGCGTGTATATTTAGTTGTGTGTATATTTAGTTATATAGCATAAATAGAGTTGAGTAAAAGTAAGAAGATGGAGTCTTTTACCTTGAGGGTTTAAGGCTATTTATATAGCTTTGACTCTATATAAATGTGTTTTATGCAAGAATAAAGTAATTAATATGCTTGCTACCTATAAATTTGGACTATCTGGAGACCAAGATTTAGCAGCGACAATGACCCACTATAAAATTTACTCTTATTTTAGGTTATATAAATTTAGTACAATTAATAATTATCCCACTATAAAATTTACTCTTATTTTAGGTTATATAAATTTAGTACAATTAATAATTATCCCACTATAAAATTTACTCTTATTTTAGGTTATATAAATTTAGTACAGTTAATAATTATCATTACACTAATCCTTTATGTGATAAATGTGTAAGGAGTGGGCTATATTTAATGCATATACATCTTGCCTAATTAGCTAGTAGTTAATGAACTGGGGGTTATTTTCTGAAACATCTAGCTTATGTCTTAAAGCTATATAGCTAAGAAAGTATTTCATATGGTTTAAAATTGTTATCATCTTAAAACAAGTTAGGTTACTAAATCACCTTTTGACCTAAATTAAGGGTGGTATGTCTTAAAGAGTGTTGATAATTAAGAAACCTTGAGACCAAATTAACACCCTATAGAGAGTGTTAACCATCAAGAAACCCTGAGACCAAATTAAAACTACTTTTATACAAGTTTAATTTGGATCATTTGTGTTTAAATAAGCTCAGGGACCCATAATGATCTTAGACCAATAGTTAGAGTGGCGATTTCATAGCTACTATAAAAAAAATAAATTCTAAAAAATTCTATAAAAATTTAAGCATGATTTAACAATCAAATCAAAAGTTATAGTCATCTTAAATCATCATTATTGTCCGACATGACTAAACTTTCTCTTAAGCTTATACTTTTTATGTTGGTCCATAAATACATCTTTAAAGTCATCAATGTAATTGGTCTGAGTTGGATCCTTATCTAGTTATGGCAGACTCGCATTCGATTGTCAGAATCATTCGTGAGAACTATTGTGTGAGCAGTAACTTTTTAAGATTTTAATTGAATTTTATTTTTTAGTTTACAAGTTGAACAACTATGTATATTTTTACTCATAAAATATATTTAAAAAAAATTATGATTTTTGTGTGAATCAGTTTACTAGTTATACAACTGTATTTAACTAGTTGATAATTATTGTGTTTTAAAAACATAACATATTTAAATATTGTTATTTTGAAATGTAATAATTATCTTATTGTATTTAAAAATAATAAAATTTAATAAATATTATATTTTAAAAGCCTCACAAGATAAAAATATGTTATTTTACTAATTTTTTTTTGAAATAATGTTATTTTACTAATTTTTTTTTTTTAAAATCCAAAGTACGAAGGGCCATGAAGTATTCGTTAATCGCGTAAGAATCGCGTGCAGCGTATCTTAGAGGCAGTTCAGAAACAATGACAGTTTGCGTCAAGAAAGAAAAAAGACAGACTGTTTGGTCGGTTACATATTATCACAATTTCTCTGTCAGCCACATGGCAGTTCCGTTGCTCTCTCCCGAAATTTTGTTAAATGGAGAACGTGCCATTCCCTCCCCTCCCACATGCGTGTAGTAACTGACTTCGCCCACATTCCTTGTTATTTAATCAAAAACAAATTTAAGAGCTAAGACAGCTTCATTTTATCATGATTTTCGAATTTCAATTTCTTTCTCTGCAATTACTAATTTCTTTCTTATTTATGTGTGAGTTTATGTGAAGTGAAAGCAAAGAAAAAAAAAAAAAACAAAAAGCGAGGCAAATGGCACCATCAGCATCATCATCATTTATGCCTTTGACATCACAAAAAATCATCACATTATTGTTTTTGATTTCCCTTTTGACACGTCGTTTGGGAGCAATTTCATCCGCGTCTCCTCGATAATTCTAATAAGGCAGGTAGTGTTTTTGTTATCATTTTTCCCCTTTACGTTCGTGTTCCTGATTTTCAATTTTACATATTTCAATTTGATTAGCAATCATTTACTTTGTGTTTTCTTTTGCTAGTTTAAAATGATAATGTGGGTGGGGTGATTTTTGGTTAAAGTAGGCGATGTTATTAAAACACCAACGGATTTAAGAGAAAATCTGCTTTGGATTTCGTTGAAGATTCTTTGAATTCCCTTGCTCATGAAAATATTATTGATGATTTTAATTTTGGCAGATAAAAACAGTGGAGATTAGATGGACATTGGTGCCCTTTTAACTTCGGCCGCTATCAATACAGGTTTATCTGTGTTGCTTTTTTCACTGTATTCAATATTGAGAAAACAACCAAGCAACACCATTGTGTATTTCGGGCGGAGGCTTGCTTCTTTAAACAACAGAAATAGCAGAAATCATTTCTCCTTCGAAAGGTTTGTGCCCTCTCCTAGTTGGATCGTCAAGGCATGGGAAACAACTGAAAATGAAATCTTGGCCATTGGTGGCCTTGATGCTGTGGTTTTCCAGAGGATACTTGTTTTCAGGTGAGGTCATATTCGAAATGGATGCTTCTGCTTTTCTTTTTTCTTTTTTATTATTATTTTGTCTTCTTAATTATTTTACTGTTGTGCATTTGTGTAACTACCTATGTTATTTCTTTGGAGTTGTATACAGTATCAGAGTCTTCTCTATTGCAGCTGTTACGTGCATGTTCCTGGTGCTTCCAGTGAATTATTATGGGCAGGAGATGAAACACAAGCATATCCATGCCGAGTCCCTCAATGTATTTACAATTGCAAATGTGAAAGAAGGCTCCAGATGGTATTACTCGCGAGCTTTATTTTGTTAATGTCTCATTATAGTGAAAACTATAAAGTGGTTCGGTTTATACTAATGTGAAGCCATCTCTATGTTGGTTCATACCGAGAAATTTGACTAGCTCTGATCTAGTTTTGATTTTGGGCTTGCCCTGAAGGTCTACCTAACCACTCCTTTTCATTTGATTTTGAACTCTCGAACAAATATATGGAGATTCTCATTTGTTCTTGTCTTTATTTGCTCTCTTTGTATATTTATTGCTTTCCTTTTCCTTTTCTTTTGATTGCAAAGCGAGCAACTGCGAAGTTCCCTTTTAATAGTTAGTTAGAAAGTTTAAATCCTTTTTTCTATAAAATCTCAATTCCATGTTATCTTGCTGACTGTTGCTTCTCCTCGGTGGGATTTGTTATGCCTGTCTAACTAATTGACTTGACTGTTCAAAACCTCAAATTGCGATGGCTAATTCATTTCTCTATTTTGATTTATTCTATGTCAGGCTTTGGGCACATTGTCTCGCATTATATATCATATCCTGCTCAGCTTGTGTTCTTCTTTACTTTGTAAGGAAATGAATGATACATATTCTTTCCATTTCTCTCGGAATTGATTGCATATGCATCTATTTGTGACCTAGTTGTGTGTACTGATGTGTTAAGATTATTAACAACACCCCTTCTCTCCAGGAATACAAAAGCATCACCAAGATGAGGCTAGCACACATAACAACATCTCCTCCAAATCCAAGTCATTTTACCATTCTTGTCCGTTCAATTCCATATTCGGTGGGAGAATCATACAGTAATTCTGTGAAGAAATTCTTTACAAATTATTATGCATCAAGCTACTTGTCTCATCAAATTGTGTATCGATGTGGTTTGGTTCAAAAATTGATGGTGCGTATGTGATTCAAATGATCTTGTTTGTTTACATAATTAGTTACAGTTCAGTGTTTTGCTTTACCTGCATGCCTTATCAAACAGTTTACCATTTCTAATGTATCAAGCATTTCTTTTTTCTTCTTGGAATTTGTGTTTCTATTATGTGCAATATTCTCTAAAATTTGCACATCGTGATTGATGGCTTAGGATGGTTTTTCACTTTGTCAAAAGTATTTTTCTTATTTTCACAACTGTAATGTCACATCCTTGTGATACTTCATTGTTTTCCATACCTCTCAGAATGGTTAAGCACCCTAACTATGGTTGTGAGGATCCAACTAGACTTGTGCTTTAAAAAGGAAGAACATTGTGTCATCATATGTTCAGCCAGCTAATTTGTGGATGTTTGTCTTGGCAAAAAATGGTGGAAAAAACCTCCTTCCACAATTTGTGGCCAGCCTGCCTTTTTCAGCCATGTAGGCCTTAATTCTGCAAGCTGTAAGGCAAATCTTTTGTTGCTATTTTATAGATAATGTTCTTGTCATTGTTGTCATTGTTTCCATAGTACATAAATTTTCAGTAGATGCTGGCTTTGTGCACAGTAATATCTTCCTTACTAATGATGTCTCACACATTTACTCAGTTGTTTCCAAGCTCATGAATGCATTGTGTACCACTGCCATGCCTCAGCTTCAATGATCTTTTCCTTAATAGCTATTCTCTTTTATAAAACCCAGTTTTTTTCTGTCTGATCAAGTTTGCCTCCATTTGTTGCTTTGTATTGTTGAGGCCTTTTTCTCTTGTATAAAATAGATGCTAGAATTAGTGTTTATATATATATATATATATATATATATAATCTTCTCTTAATCATAATTGTGTTTCATGGAGTTGGGTTGAGAATTACCAACCCAAAAATTATTTAGAAACAAATTAAAGTTCAATCTTACTATAGTAATATGCTTAAATTAGACATCCTCATTTTAGCGGTGATATGTTAGATGCTATATTAAATTTTGGCCATGTCTTGAGATTTTCAGTGTGCTAATTGATATCAACACAATTTTGTGCTCGGCATTTGATTGTCCCTTTTGTTCCTCGTGTATGAATAGCCTCATGCTATTTTGGTATGTTATGGTATTTCTGTTTTTGTTTTTAATTGTTGGCAATGCTTTTGTTGCAGGTTGATGCAGAAAAGATATGCATGAGGATTAAGGCTGCTCCCAAGGGCCAATCAAGTTTAAAGCCATGTTGTCTGTGTGGAGGAAGTACTTCGTTTAAGGTCCTTACTGATGAACCAGAAAGTGTCAAGGACAGTTTCAGTTATTCTAACTTGAATCTTGCCACCAGAGATAACGTAAACATCTCGCACAAGCTGATTCTAGTAATACTAAAGTCCAATATTTATGCATCGGCACTTATTTTATGTCTGATTTTTGTCCCATGTTCCTTAGCTTGTGGTATTGCATCCATCTCATTCTCAGCATGGAGTAGTTTTTCTGAAGTATTTGTTTGTGCACCCTTCACTAGCATTCCCAGATGGCTCCTATTAGGAGTTTACAGATACTGAGTAATTGTTCAAATATGTGGTTTTCTGCCCACCCTCATGTTTCTGTCTCTGCTTCGTACAACAGTTTTCAGAATGCCTACCGTAACTACTTGATATATTCTATTGATTGCAGCTCAGCCCATAGATTAAGGTGGTCACAAACCATATAAGCAATTTCATATGTTATTTTGGAAACTATGTCACTCATTGTGAATGCATAAGCTTTGTTCCTTCTGCAACTCGAGTTGAGTAATTATTCTATTTTTAAGTTTTGGAGGAACAGATGTTGTAATTATTATTATTATTACTATTTAGTTGTTAGTCATTACTTTTTAACATTGATGTGCGTGTGGGGTTAGAAAACCGATAGTATTTGCCAGCAACTTTGGCGAAAATGGCTGCTTGTTAGCTAATTCTTTTTACCTGGCTGCAATACAGGAGCGTTCTGCTGCTTTTGTTATTTTCAAGACCCGCTATGCTGCTGTGGTTGCCACACAGATGCTTCAATCACCAAATCCCATGTCATGGGTGACAGAATTGGCCCCAGAACCACATGATGTTTTATGGTCAAATCTCTGTATACCATTTAGACAGCTTTGGCTCCGGAAGATAGCAACTCTTCTGGCATCTATAGTCTTCATGGTTCTGTTTCTTGCTCCAGTGACCTTTGTACAAGGCTTGACTCAACTAGAGAAGCTGTCACAAACATTTCCTTTTCTGAGAGGATTTCTAAAACAGTAAGTGCTATATTGTTTCAATGATTGAGCTGGTGGTTTGTTTGTATTTTTAATCTTGTTACTATCTCCTCCTAGCATGTTTCATGTATTGGATTTTTTCCTGGTTAACATGGTTTTATGTGACCATAGCATGTTTAGCAATGCTTTTGATATGTGAAATTCAGTTGATTGTGCTCTTCTTTCCAACTAAAAGAATAAGACAATGAGTTTCTAACTGTTGTATGTTCAGTAATATATTGAGTGTTGGGAATCTCGGTGCATAGAAATTACGTGAATCTTACAACTAAGCACTGATAATTGAGCTCCAGGCCATTGTTTTCTTGTGCATAATTAGTTTCTGATAGCAGCTTTTATTGATCCATCAGTTGTGCTCATTCTACATTTTCCTGCACATAGGTAACGTAGCAAGAGTAATGTATTTAATTTTCCTGGTCTAGCTTACTTCACTAAGGTCTATGCATGCATAAAGGAAAAGGCCTCAATCTTATGTTGTCTGGCCTAACTGTCATCAGCATGGCTCAGATAATAATGATTATATTATATCTAGTTAATAACTTAATTTTAACTATTCATTTGTAGCACTACAGGTTTTTTGAGTTCTTTTGAACACATGATTAAGGACTGAGAAGGAGATAAAAGATTAGGACATTACAGACTCTAAAATATGAAAGTTTGCTTGCAATCTTACCCTGTGCTGTTATGCAGGGACCTTATAAACCATGTGCTGACTGGTTACCTGCCAAGCGTTATCTTAATATTGTTTCTGTATACTGTTCCACCGACAATGATGCTGTTTTCATCAGTGGAGGGACCTGTTTCTCATAGTGGAAGGAAAAGGAGTGCATGCTTGAAAATCTTGTATTTCACAATTTGGAATGTTTTCTTTGTTAATCATGTATCAGGAGGTTTTCTCTTTGCGTTCAATATGTTATCTAGTGTAGGAGACATTCCTGTAGAACTTGCCAAAGCAATACCAAATCAGGTGAGTTTTCTGTAATTCTGGAAATGTTACACTCATAAATTTCTTCCCCCAACTTAGAAAATTTATTTACATTTGCATGCATTGGCTATGTGTTTTTGTTAGTTTTGATGCGTTCAGTTTTGCATATAACCATTGCTTCTAGGAGTTCTAATCTTCCACACAAGTTATGGGAGTGTGAATCTTGTATGTTGCATTACAGATGCAATCAGGGCTTTATTATTTTACCATTTTCTCCCTCTTATTATTGTTATTATTATTATTATTTTTATATATTGGATTCTCATAAATGAAAAGCTTTTAAGGTCTCATCAAAATAGTTGATTATAATTTGGTTTCTGAATACATGCAGGCTAGCTTCTTTGTGACTTATGTTTTAACATCAGGTTGGGCAAGTCTGTCATGTGAAGTGATGCAACCTTTTTCTCTCCTCTGCAATTTCCTTAAAAAACACCTTCTTAGAAACCATGAAGACTCATCTGATGGTCTTGTGTCCTTTCCATACCACACTGAAGTTCCAAGAGTCTTGCTGTTTGGTCTCATTGGCTTCACCTATTCGGTTATGGCACCTTTAATATTGCCCTTCTTGCTGATTTACTTTTTACTGGCATATCTGGTATATCGAAATCAGGTGACAACCTCTCCAATCTTTGTTTTCTGTCCCTTGTTTACAATGTTCATATAAATTGGCTAGATTTTAATTTTACATGGTGTTCTTCCGTGCAGGGAAGCTGTTGTATTTCAATGTACCATTTTGATATTTTGATAGTAGTTTTGCCTGTGTTCAATACATTTATCCCTTTAACACATCTGTTTTCAATCACTTGATTCCAGTACCCTTTATGCCAGCATGAAATTTAATTGAGCATTAGTATTTTTACTGGTAGCTGGTTCTGTGATATTTTGCATCTTCTGAATATTATGAACCAAGTGGGAAACGAAGCTCTTTATAAATTTCTATGTGAAAATCTGAGCTGGCACCTGAATTTTGAATTTGAAGTATTTTTGTTGCATCACCTGTTTCTGATTTCCAAAATCTGGCAGTTTGAGTGTGTACCTTACCTATCGCTGGTTGTTCTTCATCGTTCTCATTTCATCAAGAGTTAACCTTTAGTTCTAGTATTTAAGACAATGTTCTGGCTATTGAGGAAATAGTATGAAAATTTGCCAAGTAACTGCGCCAAATAAGGACCCCTTATTGTTCAAAATGTGGAGTTGAAAACAAAAAAAAATAAAATCCCAGCACTGTGTGTTTCTTCTTGTTTATAGAATATTCCAAAAACTGATCTAGAGTTGCATTTGTAAGTGGATGTTTTTTCTCTGTATGGATATATATTTTGCTTTTCACCCATTTCTTTAAGGGTCAGGAGGAAAGGAGAGGGAGCTACATTTAGGAATTAGGAATGTTATTTGATGAAACAATATTGTTAACACGGTAAATAGGAGGTGCAGAAACTGGATGCAGGAGAGAAAGCTGGACCTTAAATAGTTTTTCTTTTTGTTATTCTTTGATCGCTTATTCCATCAATGTTAGTCTCCATTTAAAGGTGTCTTTTATATCAGTTCTTAGTTTTCATTTTGCAGATTGTCAATGTATACATAACAAAGTATGAAGGCGGTGGACAGTTGTGGCCTATTGTTCACAACACCACAATCTTTTCATTGGTGCTGACACAAATGATATCTCTTGGTGTTTTTGGAATTAAAAAATCTCCAGTCGCATCGGGTTTCACCATTCCACTGATAATTTGCACACTTCTATTTAATGAGTATTGCAGGCAGCGATTTTTCCCAATTTTTAAGAAGAATGTTGCACAGGTGATCATGAGCAACTGGTTTGCTTTTGAATCTTTCTATTCCTGTCTGTCCAAAGTTAATAAATTATTTTGTCCTGTTCAGGTTCTTTTAGAGATGGATAGACGAGATGAGCAGTCTGGGCGGATGGATGAGATCCATCAACAGTTGCATTCAGCCTACTGTCAGTTACCGCTAACTTCCCATGAATTCTGTGAATCTGTACACAAGCTCTGTCAGGACAACATCCGAGGCCGAGAGGGCACCAAGTCAGGTTTGTGTCACCAAAACCTTGAAAGACTAACTCTTTCTGAAATCAAAGTGTAATTTGTCAGCTTTTACTCTTCCTTTTCAGGAAAAGAACCCAGTGAAGTAAGTGAACCCTGTGCTGTCTGCAATTTTGGAAAAGAACGTTCTATTGGGGAGTGATCTAGCTTATCCCCTGTACATATAAACGCCATCTACTCACTGACGGTGCTTTCCAGTGCAATGGTATTTTGAAGAGGAGTTTTGGCCACAGTAGGTGTGTCATTAAGAATCTGTACAGAAGATTTACTGGACTTTTGGCTGGAAAATTTGGTGCTCTTTACTCTAGAGGTATAGCATTGAGGCTTTCCATAAGATCTTACTCTGCTCTCTTTTTCCCTCTTGTGCACATAAGAAAGATGATGTACGATGTCATCTCATAGTATAAACAACAGAAATCTTACATGGCTGTAGCTGTTGAATCCTGTCATGTGTAACATGGACTTGGCCGGCGATGTTTGGTGTGTGAGAATTTGAAAAACATTTCCCTACATGTCCAGTAACGGTTTGAAAGCTAGATAAACAACAACAATAGCATTTTGAAAGCAACATCAGAAGATCTGTAAATGACAAGCTATCCCCATGTCATTTTAGGGGCTCCCCTATTTTCCTTTGGTCTCAGCAGTAACACAATATTTTCTTGTGTGATAACGGGCAACATGCTGAGGATGGAACAAGCGAGGCTGCACATTGTAAAGCAATGCTACATGTAGAACAAGCTAACCATATTAGTTAGAATTGTCGAGGGTGCTTCCTAGACTAATGGAGTAACTAAGCTTGACCACTAGGTGGTGAGGTGACGATGATGTGTGACTTTCTCATGCTTTCCTACAACATCAAGTCTCCTTAAGAAGCATGGCGGCCACCCTGTTTGGGCAAAGGCGTGGCTTGGTGTGGGTGAGTTGGTGTTGGTGAGGTCATTCGAACTTAAATCAGAATAATCAGAATGATCCCCCCTTCATAATCATTACCATCTCCTCGCGCCCAATGCTCTCTCTTCATCATCATGCTTTCTTACACGCGCGCGCATACACCTTTTGCTCTCTCACATAATTAAAAAAAAAAGAGAGAAAAAATTATTATGATTAGAGATGAAAGCCATTATTAAATTAGCTTAAAAATATCATACAAAACAAAACCAATAATCGGTGAGTGAAACATACTAATGACAATTACCCCCCCTACCTATTTTGTCAAGGAAAAGAATTATTCTCTTTTCTTCATTTTTCAATCCTACTAAGAGAACAAACTTAATTAGAAACTGTAAAGAGGTTGGGAACCTGTGATTTTAAATAGCGAAATCTTAAAATTAGGAAGTGGAGAAGGATATTCTTGAAGACTTTTGGCTAGAACTCATTAAATTAAGTTAAACTAGCAAAGGTAATGAACTTACCTTCAATTTATTTCACTTCTTTGATTGTTTCGGGGGAGGTGAATAAAATCTCTATATCTTAAATTCCAGGGCTAGTGCAAATTGGTAAAGAAATGGAAATTTATCAATTCTTTGATTGTCTTTGGTATGGAAAATGTTGTATTAGGAAGTAATTGGAAAAAATTAAAATCTATGTTAAAAAATTAAACTGCTGTGTGTGTGATTTTGGAGTTATTGAACAAATGATAAACTTGTATGATAATTGATGTTGTGACGATTTTAAGATTGTTTGAGTTTGGTTTTAGATGCTTTAATGTGATTCATTAAAAGCATATTTATGATAATGATGAAAGTTAGGAAGTTGATTTAAACTTATTGTTTTAATGTTAATTGGATTGATTCTATTGTTGTTGGGTTATGAGAATGCATAATAATGGTTTGATTTGAATCAATTATATTAAAAAATGGAATTGATTGCTTGACTTAAAGGATATCAAAAGTATGACAACTAATTTTCTCTCTAATTATTCACCATCCAAGATTGTGTACTAGAGCATATACACTGCTTCTATATTTTTAATTCTTTTCTTACAATGGGATAATGCATTATTTTGAAGATTATGCAATAAACTTCTTATTATTTTTTATTTTCATTGCCTCTTTATTTATTTATTTTTTTTATTGATGATAAAGTGGGCGAGAGATATGAAGTGTTGCATTATTTTTTTATTGATGACAAAGTGGGCGAGAGATATGAAGTGTTGCATGTGTGCATTTCATTGCAAAAAATGGAGATATGTGCTTCAAAATATACGCATACATTTAGGAGATGCATATGTTTTTACATTGCTTAGATTGTGCAAAATTGTTAAAGTTTCATATATATATATATATATATAATTGTAAAAGATCATTGGAGATACATTTTCATATTTAAATTATTTATTTATTGTCATTGGAAAAAAGAGAGGAGATTGTTGACATTTGGTATCACACATGTTTTTTTTTTATATATTTTGATGTAAAAATAAAATGAAAAATGGAAAGATTTTTGACAATTGGTGTCCCAAATTCATGTTTTTATATATATTTTTATGATAACAATAAAATAAAAAATGGATTAATGACATACTTGGTTAAAAATAAGCTTTAAATAGATTTTTTACAAACACCATATCAATAAGCATGATGAATTTGATGAAGAAATTAATCAAGCAATCCATAAAGAAAGCAAAGTGAAGACTTAGATTAAAAATCCATTTTAGTGCTCATATAAGTTTTTATATCTTACTTCATAGTATAATTAAAATGAACTCAAATATTTCATTCTACATATATTAAATGATTTATAAATAATCTCATATAATCTAAGGTAGTGAATTCTAAGAATTCACCATGATTAATTTGTTAAAACTAGAGTTCTACATGAAACAGTGAAACGTTTAATGTTATCAAATAAACTAGTCAACTATTTGTTCATCAGTAATGAATGCCTGAGAATATTGGAGGAAACAATCAGCTTGATTAATCTAAACTGGTTGATTATTTGAACTATTAATATCAATGTAATAGCCATAAACAACTAGTTTTTTTAAAACACATACACACACACACTCTTTTTATGTAAAGAAGAGAAATTAGATTGGCACAAACAGCCAACAAAATTGATCACTAAAGCACCACTCAAACAATCATCATTTCATTTTATTTCTTTAAGTATATTTAAACTATTAGGTAAACTAGTTTCAATTTCATCACTCTATGAAAAACATGAAGGAAATTCCCTCAAACTTGTTCTTTTAAAATTTTCAACCATTATGTTTTCATAACTACCATAACCTTGCCTCTATTACATCATAAACAACAGTTTAATACATCTAAACCCTAAATATAGTAACAAAACTATAATTACAAAGATTATTAATAACAAGTTCAGAACCATTAATTAATTTTTTTTTAATAACTATATCACATGTGTACGACATCGAGATGATCATCCTTCCAGATTGGAATTATCAAGAATAATTGGGTGAAAAGATAAGAAATTATTGTTTTTTTTTATCATTAAAGAGGGAGAATGAGAGTCGTTATTTAGTATTTTAGTCACTAATAACCCTAACTAGTATCAAAGTCTAGGTAAAAAGACTAATTACATAAAAAAAAAATATTAGCACCCCTAATACGCCTTACCTGAAATAGATTATATTATTTATGTGTCTTAGTTAAATTAAGATATTGTTTTTTTTCTAACTGTTAGTCTATTTAGGGTTTAAAAAAATCATCTCCAATAAAAAGATTATTATCTTATCATGTTAAAACTTAATTATTCTAATGCAAAAATATAAAAATATAAAATTAACTATTTTTTTTAATATCAAGAATATATCCTATGTATAAATTCATAATATCATATATTAAAAGAAATAAAATAAATATTTTTTGGTGTTTTTGAAATATAGACTAAGTTTTAACAGATAATCATAAACAAATTATGATATTCTTTGATTGATTCTTGTATTTTTATATCTAAATTGATCTTTATTCTTTTGATTTCTATTTATTTTGTATTTTGTATTTTTTTGATTAATTGGTTTTATCAATTTAATCCCTCATTATTTGGTTTCATTTAATTTTTATAATAAATTTGGTTTTCATTCTTTTAATTACTTTGTGTTTCCTTTTTATCCTTTTTCTAATTTAAGTTTATTTTTAATTCTATTCCTTGACATTTGATTTCACTTGGTTCTCATTATTTTTATTGCTTTTTTTGTTTTAAATTCTTTTCTAATTTTTTCTCCTGCTAATTTCATCCCTCAACATTATTAGTTGAGAATTTTACTTTGTTATATTTTAAGGTTTATCTTTATAGCATTAGTCTCAAGCTCATGACAAGGGTCACAAGGTGACTTTGGTATTTTTTAGGTTTTTTTTAGATTTGATTTTTCTCTGATCTCATTCTTTAATATTTGATTTATTAGTAATTTGTCTTTAAGCTTCTTCTTCTTTTTCTTTTTTTTTTGCTTTCTTATCTACGGAGTTATCCCAATCTTACATCTATGATTGTGAGGTTAATAAGTTAACCTGAGTTGACTAAAAAAAAGTTTCCATACAATTTTTTTTAATTAATTTTTTTTTATAGTTCCACCATTTGATATTGAATTGTTTGATAATTGAGTTTTAATATTTTATTCAATTTTCTTTTAACGTTGTTACCCCTGGTATCACAATTGGATTGTAAATTTAGCATGCTAGCTCATATGGGTTCAAATTGCTTCTTTTTTTCTTAATTTTTTTTTCATTGTCAATTTTTTTATTAGTTCATCAATTGTCATTATATTTTTTTTATTCGTATTATCAAAATTATGTGAATTTATTAAACCCAATTAAGTCAATGACTCATATCTCTTTTCTTTTCTTTGAAAACAATTGAATAGCCTTAGCATTTTTTTTTACAATAAAAAAATTTAGATCGGTGAGTATCATAACATAAGCCACTTATCTAGTACGTATACATATATAATTCATCAAAATATAAAATTAACAGAACCTATAATTCTAGAAACTATAATTATCTTCTTTTAACATCATAATGAAGAGCAATGAGGATGTCATATTTTCCTTCTTATAATCAAAATTAAATTTAGGTATGTTCATGAGTACTTTTGTTGTTGCTTTTTGAAAGTATTTTTAGCTTAAAAAATTTTAAATTGATATCTTTTTCTTGCTTTTTATGTGTTAATGCTACAAATTAAAAAAAATCTAAATTTTTTTATTTTAATATATTTCCAAACAAATAGCTATTTAAAAAAAAAAAAACCTCCACCCCAATTAATCCCAAACACACATTTAATTAGCGTCCTTATACCTCACGCTAAGATGCTTTTTAAACAATCACTTCCCTAATAAGAACAAGATGGTGAGGTCTGAAAGTCGGACGAATGAAAGAGAATTTATCATGTTAGTGAGTGTCACTTTCATTGTATAAACAAACATTAATTCAAAATAATGTGTCATAGGGAGGGGTTAGCATTTCATATAAAATGAAAAAGCGGTGACAGAAGTCGTCGGCTGGCTGTTGTCATGGTTTGGCTGCTGCTTGGCCATGGGCCTTAATCACGGACATT